TGTTGTTGTTGTTGTTGTAATACTGAAAAAAAAAAATAATAATATATATATATAACATTTTACATCTAAATTTTGCAATTTTAAGAAATAACCAAGAAAAATAAATCATTCCTTCATCTTAGTTTTCAAATTTTTCAAATAATTCAATTTTTAGATACTTTGTTCAATTTCAGTTTTTATACTTTCTACTTCCATATTTAAATATAAATCGGTATCATAAATGTTAAGCTGTTTAAAATAAAAGTTTTGAAATCGTTCTGTTTTATTTCAATCTGTTTTTTTTAGGAAAATATTATGGATCGTATATAATATAGTTTCCTTATTAACCTGCAGCTGTCCAAGTCTAAGGAACAATCAGTGTACATTCGAAACGTTGCCTTGGAAACTGCTGGAGTTTACAAGTGCGAGGTGTCAACCGAAGCACCTGTATTCGACACAGTGTCAGCCAAAAAGGAGATGAAAGTTTACGGTATGAAGTTTCCTTTGTCTCCTATAATCAGCGGTAAAAATCTCATGCTTAGTTAGAGTCGATATTATGTACGTAAACAGAACTTACAAACAATAATTAGCCCCAGATTAACAGTGAAACCAATTCCAAAACTGTACACAACCATAACTAATATATGATCCAGTTTAATTTATTCTGCCATAATGTTTTTGTAATATCTGTAGATAATTTTTTGAAAACTACATTTAGGAAGAGAGAAAAACAAAGTTTATATAGTATTTTTATATGCAGAACTGACTCAGTAAGTATGAATAAAACATACAGAGGTTAAAAAAAAGAGAAAAATATGATCAAATTAATACAGTATTACCTCTTTCATTTATTTCCCTCGTGGCGTTGAATTAAATGAAACGCATTTAGTGCATGAAGTCTTATATATGATAAAATGTGTAATTAGTTTTCCTTGATATAGTTCTTTGTTTGTTAATTAAGATTCTACGTTATTGTATAATATGCTCGACTTGAACGTTCTGTACATCAGGTCCTTAGTTATGATATATGTAGATAGCTGGCTTTAATATATTTGAGTTTGTAGGTTGTTTGTACATTGTGATAATTTGATTTTATATTAGAAGTTGTTTGTAGAGTATGATGAAGAAAATTTATATAAGCTTCTTACTTACTGACTCTGTTTGATAAATGTTTTCTTATGGAACTTAAGTACAATTTATGTTTGATACAAGTTTTCTTATGGAACTTAAGTACGCCCTATGTTTGACAAAGGTTTTCTTATGGAACTTAAATACATCCTATGTTTGATAAATGTTTTCTTATGGAACTTAAGTACAATTTATGTTTGATACAAGTTTTCTTATGGAACTTAAGTACAATTTATGTTTGATACAAGTTTTCTTATGGAACTTAAGTACGCCCTATGTTTGATAAAGGTTTTCTTATGGAACTTAAGTACGCCCTATGTTTGATAAAGGTTTTTTTATGGAACATAAATACATCCTATGTTTGACAAAGGTTTTCTTATGGAACTTAAATACATCCTATGTTTGATAAAGGTTTTCTTATGGAACATAAATACATCCTATGTTTGATAAAGGTTTTCTTATGGAACTTAAATACATTCTCTGTTTATATTTATATAAACTTCTTATTTACTGACTCTTTCTTTTTTATTCTTTTTCTCGTCTCTCTCTTTCATTATGATAATCCTTTAACGGCGAGTACTTTGATTTAGCTATTAAATCCACCTGCTGGAACTTAGTAGCACTAATAATGTATAATTCATCGTACCGCCTACTAGTTCTGCCGACGGAAGGCCCCAAAATTACCGGAAGACATATGAAATATCGTATAGGAGATACGGCTACGGTCAAGTGTACATCCGCAAAATCCAAACCCGCAGCCACGCTCAGCTGGTATATAAATGACAAACCGGTGAGTATTTTCTATTACTGTCAATTTTTTAGTATTTGTCTTATCTCTTGACTGTAACGTTCTATGCAACTGAACAAGTACAAACACTTTTACTTGACACTGGCAAGTTTCGGAACACTAGCGCAACACTTGTACATAGGACAATATTTGTCATATTATTTGAAAGATATAAAATAAAATGGAAAAGAGGACAAAAACCAAAATAAAGGTATTTAAAATATATTTTCACGTGAGGATCCGGTTTTTCCCTTACACCTGGCAACAACACATTCCTGGCCTCCCCCTATTGTCATAACCCAGAACCATTTCTCAACACGAGTGGAGGAGAAGTGGACATAGTAACCGAAGATCGACGACACTGCCCCTAGTGTCATTTTCAGAAACGAATGTTCTGCGTTTCACTCTACAGACACACTGACTACGCTGTACACACTATCCTGGATCAACAGATTTCCGAGAGGGGTGTTCGATTCCTCGCGGTAGACACTAATAAACAAACAGCCACTGTACATACGATATTTAAGTTGGATGGTGATAAGTTCCTGCTGATAAGCCACGTTATTAGCTTTATTTACAAATTAAAAATTACTGTACATACGATATTTAAGGTGGATGGTGACAAGTTCCTGCTGATAAGCCACGTTATTAACTTTGTGTAATTAGTTTTTATTTTTACGTGGTTTATGAGATGAAAAAACTTAAACTAAATACAATGTGTAATTGAATGTCATTATGTTTAAATTGGATTTCCAGGAAACAACAAAATCTCATCTTAAGCAGATGTTATCTTTCGTGCCAAATGTGGCAAGTTTTGATTAGGTGAGGTTTAGGAATACTATAACATTAACAATGAGTATAATTCGCTCAAAAAACTACTTTTTAATTTGTAAATAAAGCTAATAACGTGGCTTATCAGCAGGAACTTATCACCATCCAACTTAAATATCGTATATACTGTACTTTTTAATTTGTAAATAAAGCTAATAACGTGGCTTATCAGCAGGAACTTATCACCATCCAACTTAAAAATCGTATGTAGAGTACTTTTTAATTTTAAATATATGAAATAATAAATATTCAAAGTCGAACTTTCTAAGTCCCTTTTATTTGGCTGTTTAAACATAACGCTACACATGGCGCTATCTGTGCTGTGCCTACTACGGGTATCTAACCTTGTTTTTTAGAGTTATAAGTCCGCAGACTTACCACTGTTCCACCGGGGAGGGGTGGGGGCACAATTCTGTTGGAGAGTATTCAGCTAGTAAATAAATATAATATGATAATGGTCTGTACTGCTAAGTTGTTCTCTTAGTACACCCTATACTTTATAAGTTTTTCTTATGTAATTTTACTAAACCCGTGTTTGATATAGGGTTTCTGTTAAAGTTAGAACACCAAAGCCTACATTTCAAAAGGTTTTTTTATGGAACTTAGGAATATTTTATATTTTATAAAGCTTTTCAATGGAACTTAGAACACTGTATATTCTATAAGTTTGTGTTGTTGTTTTTTCTGCGGAACGTATTAAATACATCATGTACTTCATATGAGTTTTCTATACAATCAAAGGACGCTCTGTAATTTATATAGGTTTTCTATACAAGTTAGCGACACTCTATAATGTATATGGGAATTTTATAGAACTTAAGGACGCTGTATGATTTATAGGAATTTTCTATACAACCTAAGGACACTCTATGTTTTTTTAGATATTTGCTATACAACTTATAAAACTTTATATTTTAGTTAATCTCTATGAACATAAAAGTTTCGTTGTTAATATTTCTGAAGATAAGTTATTCGTGTTCTTATGCCAAGTTAGTTGGATCACAACGCCAAACTGTGTCAGAGTTGCTTATATAGTTTTAAATTAGCCCATACAAACCACACTAAAATATAGTTTGTTTTAACTTAGCCAGTCAAAACCACATTGTTGTACAGTTTGTTTTAATTTAGCCTGTTAAAACCACACTGAAATTAAGAATGAATAGTATATTCTACTCCATATTAATTGCCTCGAAGTTTGTTAGACTTCATTTAAGTAATATGTAACTCATTATGTGTGATCGCAAGGTTCTGTCTTGCAGGATACGCTGTTGCCTTCCATTAAATATAGCGAGCCACATAACAATAAAAACCACTAGCATTGCTGCAGTTAATCCTCTCAGCATATCATTGTCCTGTCAGTCATTCACGAGCACATTGAGTGGTGGAAGTTGGTTGTTAAACTAGGAGACAAAATTCTCCAAGCTCGCAGTGATGCTTTAAAGTGATTAACCAGCTCGCATTTAGCTTTTGTTATTATAAACACAGCAGTCGAAGAAATGACTCTGGCTTTAGAAACGCAGCAGTTACTAAGACGCTGGTAAAGATAACAGCTACACCCGGGTATCTTAGTTTAGTGTGTTATGAGTTGGAGCCTATGCTGTCTACGAATCGATCTCAGTCTCCTTCCTCAATCCTATAGGTGGTCTCTATCTTGCTCTCTTAATACTTTCCTGTGTAGCTTTTGTCATATTTCATCTTTATCCCTCATTTGCTTCACGTATTTGAAATCATACATTATTTATAGACTTAAGGGAATGCGGTAAGACACTCTTAGAAGGATCTAGATACACAACAAATATTCCTCCACATCAGCTTTGGCTCAGTTACCGGTCCTAAAGTTTCACCATTCTTATCGCTCAGGTATTATAGAAAATCTTTTTTGTAATAAACAACTGAATACCTATAAAGCTGATATTCCAGCATCGAAACACTCACATTTTCTGTTTTGTTATTTGATTTGATTATTATATATTTCTTGTTTAAGTAAGTAATCTGCAAGAGAATTGTATTCCATATCCAAGAAACGATTATCTGGCTTTCGCTAAGCCATCTAAGTAGATTTAGCAGCTGGGTTGATCCCTTCAAAACAGAAACAAGAGAAAATGAAGAAATTTATCCGATTTTTAGTGTTATAAGCCCTTAGACTGAACCGCTGAGCTATAGGGGGGGTTTCTCAAAGATCATATTATGTCTTAAGTAAACTCAAGTTTCTATACTTGGTAGACAGCAAGTAACACGTAAATCGTTACAGAACAGAACAAAAGTTTACACTTAACTGATCTGTAACCAATATAACCTGGAACTTCTTGCAATTCTGCTCCAATAACGTCTAGGTTCGTTATAAAATATTCATATTCAGTAACTTTTAACTGAAAAGGTAAATAAACGTATTTACAAAGTATTATTTACAGAAATTAGAACAAGTATTGTTTACAGAAATTAGAACAAGTATTGTTTCAGAAAGTAGAACAAATATTGTTTACAGAAATTAGCTAAACAATAAAGTATGACATCAGGAAACTCAAAGCTACTGATAATAAAAACATGAAATGGATATCTGGAGCATAACCAGTCAAGAAATATTCCATTCTGGTGCTTCTCCTATATGTGTGCCCCAAACCCCTAGTGGCTCAGCGATAACTCTGAAGGCTAAAACGGGATTTCGATACCTGTGATTTGTTTTTTCTGAAGCTCGCGCAATGCTACATGAGGGCTATCTGCACTAGCCGTCCCTAATTTAGCAGTGATACACTAAAGGGAAGACTTCTAGTCAACACCACCCACCGCCAACTTTTAGGCTACTCTTTTACCAACGAATAGTGGGATTGGCCGTAACAATATAATGCTCCCATGACTGAAAGAGTGGATATGTTCGGTGAAGGGGTTTCGAAACCGCGACTCTCAGATTCCGAGTCAAGCGCTTTAACCACCAGACCTCGATAGCTACGATCGGAATAGTCCACTGTGCAGCTTTGCGCGTGACAGCAAACAAAAAAATTATCTGCGTAAAAACATCAACCACTCAAAACTATAATCTAATATTCTTCCAACCAGAAACTATTCATGTAAAAAGTTTACTCATTCTGAATCAACATAAGTTCTTTCCAACATTCTGTATTTTAAAAACATATGTTTTTCTCTTACACTTATAAATCCCAACTTCTGTTGTTCCATATCGTTCTGTTTCAGTGAGCCTAATTTTATGTAGGCTTATTCGGTACACATTTCAGTTTGCATATTTACATAGTTTCTGTGTTATCTTCAAGGTGTATAATTGCATAGATCACTGATGATGGAATATGTATTTTCCGAAACGTTTGATTAAATACGTTTACAACTGTTGCGATGGAGCTTTTACTTTCAATTAACTCCAGTTATCATCTAGAAAATATATTGACAGTGTTTTCTGTTTAAATTTTTTGTATGAGAATGCTATGTTATTAAAGACCCTGCAACCAAAACAGCCTTTGAACCCCAAGCAAGTTGACGAATAAACAGTTAAAAAAGCCGATGGGTCTATGTCATGAATTCTAGAGTTAAGAAGTGAACCACGTTTATCAATCCTAACAAAATAAAAACAACTAATTAACTGTTTTTCAAAATAAATTATTTACTAAAGTACTGAGTTTAAAAGTTTAACAGTAACTTTTAAAAACGTATTTTCAGCTCATTTACAAAGCAAACCGTGCACAGTTGTAAGTTTACAGATTTACAAGGCTCGATAGCAGATAGCCCAATGTGGTTTTGCTCTAAACCAACCAACCAAGCAAACTTTCATCTCATTCTAAAACTTCTCAGAAAAATGTTTGTCATTTTCAGGCAGGTTCGTCAAAATCCCAGATCACTATTTTATCACCAATTACTGAACAATAACTACATTGTAGGTCAAACCTATCTAGTGTAATCTAACCAAGCATCAGGGTTTCAAACCCTACCCTATAACAGTACGTTTTGCCTCATTCGAGAGTTCGTCGAATGTTCGTATCAATCGACTTCAAGGAATATATATACAGCGTTAATTATGTGTGATATACAGTTCCTGAGAAAATATATTCACATCTAAACAATAAATGATACATAATGATAAAATTCTTATACATATAACATTAAAACATCGGTAAATTAATACCGAAATAATTTACTTTTCAATATATATATATATATACATTTCC